CGAGCCCTAAGAAGGGTGAAGCCCTGTGTGGGTTGCGGAAGAGTTTCCGGCAACCTTATGGGTTTATACAATGAGTGACTTCCATATAGGCATACAACTTCAGCTGCATGATTTAGAACTTCAAGAGCAGAACAGATAGCTTCAGTAACAAGAATTTCAGGCACTAGCCTCACGCATCGACCGGTTCTCCTCATGAGAGATAAAACACCCGGATGAGGTTCACATGCTTCCCCTCCAGATGTGGAATAGATAGAGCATTTCTCGTTGATGATGTTTGTAAGCAACTGAATATGCTGCAACTGGCTGCCCCATGTTTCAATTGTCACGATATTCGAGATATCGCGATAGATGTATAGACGTAATACACTACTCATGAGGTTGCTGAAGATTCTCCGATAGCCCACGACCGGTTTCGCCCTTGTTGGAGTTCATTAGGTAGGCGCAGTCTTCGAGTTTCCGTCAATCTTATGTTCTACTTGAACCCAAACTGCACGAAATTAGCAGGTTTCAGTTACCTAAGAGCATCATAAACGAAAGACTCAGCTGAGTTCCAGGTGCGAACGCCAATCGATTTTTCAATCCAACTGGATAGGTCGTTGATTTTGTGATGAATAATGACCGGTATAACCGTTGATTTGAGGAGCAGCTTTGAAATGATTCGTTCCCATTGCTCTCATTTCAGGAACTTCTGTTCCTCTTTGGCATTACAGGTCATCTTGATTTTGGGTGTTAAATATGAGCAACTAAGGCGTACTTTTGTTGTGAATAAGGCCGGTACTTCCATACATGGGCTCAATGGTGTAAAGGCCTTCCGATTTTGTTGACCTTTCTATTCACCAATCTGCAGACCGAATTCAAAGATTTTAGCCGAAGATGCAGTAAAGCCGTGGATAGCATGTATTTTCAACTATTAGGCTTCCGATAAGTGGATGACCCATTTTCTTGAGCTGACCCGCGCTTCCTTAAGACAGTCCAACGTATACAGCTGAAGCACTGGATGAACAATGCGTTCGAATAACCATTAGTCTTCGCTGAGAGAGAGACTAATTGCTACCCTCATTAAAGAGCGCTGACAAGACATCACGAATTTATGGTGGTTACCTAAACTTGCTGTTTCTCAAACCAGTTAGGAGACCGAAGCATGTTCTCTACAAACTAACTGGTCCCGAATATTTTCCAAGATAGATCTAAAGTACTAATATTCACAAACTCCATTCGACCCTGTTTATGCCCTACCGAATATCATACATGCCCCTGATGGATTTTCACTGACTGGACTCTACACCTCGGGGGCCATTTTCCAGTAAGTTACGGGTTTAGTTACCCAAGGGTAGGAAGGTGCTGAGGTATACTAAGAGAATCTAGCTGCCCTTGTTACCACCAATGTAGACATGATCAGTATCGACTGGAGCTACTTCATCGATTTCATAATATCCATGTAGCAAGCAATCCTAAAAAGTGCCCGTTTTCGTGCAAGAAACTTCGAATTTTCGGACTATATCGAAGGTGGACACAGGCCTAGTCCTGCTGGTTATTTAAAGGGAGTCGCATACGTTCCACAAAATGGCATCCTAATTTTACTGAAGTGACTTTTAATCGAGGTAAAAAGGCTTCCACTAGCATTGTGGCACATAGAGCACACAAAGATGAACCAAGTACATTTTGTGGATACAGGTTAGTCGGTTCCAAATTCTGTTGTTTGTTGTCATTCTATGATGTTTTATTAAGGCCACTGAAACCTCAAGTCTATTTCACCCGGTGAGGCGTGTGGTAGACTTTACTTACTACACTAGACTATCGAGCTTTGTTTGCTTTCCCCTTGGAAGAAAATTACTATTGTCATTATATCAGAGTTGAATACCATTTTGGTATTTGGTCCTGGGTTCAGCGTCCTCTTTAAATCCGAGATTCTTCGTCTAATCCATATATCGTGTTGGTTTTGAATGACCTTCGTTGGATAATTGCATGTCATGGACACTAACTCCAGCGAGCATCCTGAGGCTCAGCATTCCACAAGTTCTTTTTAGCGAGAATTTTCGAATCAAGAACTCTTTCAGTAAAGAGTATTTGTGGCAATGGTGATCTATCCCATACTCAGTTTCGCACAAATGTGCATAGTTGCAAAATGACCAGTTCAGCTTAGCTGTATAAGTAAACTTCAGATGTCTGCCAGATCAGGAACATCAATTAATTGTCCTAGGTTTTCACGCTAGACATACTAGTCTCATGAGTAATTTTAATTTCTATGCGTCCTAACTGATGTCTGCAATAGTGGCGGCACATGGCGCGGTAATGCAGCTCCCTGATTCAATCCTGGCACTCCAACATGATCACCTCTCCAACTTGGGCCATTTGGATGTCCTTTGGTCGTAATGTTGTGATTCACTTCAGACTAATGGACTCCTTAATTCGTTAGCAACCATCCGTTACAACTTCATCGTCAGCTAGCTATGGTCACTATGGTGAAATGAGTAGGCCAGATTAGATTAAGACAGTTTACGACCATTTGGCACCGTGTTTCAGAAGAAATTTTGATGGAGTGCAGCAAAATGTTTGCTCACGGTGTGATGGCCAGCGGATCGGAGTCGAGGTTTAATTGATGCCCTGATCCACGGTTATTTGCATGCGGGACGCACAGTCGTTCCTGTTACTTTTGAAATTCCGACAACGCTGTATTCGAATATTTGCGGAAAAGAAGTCGATCACAACGTCTAAAATGTATGAGATCTTAGACATATGCGCTTTAGTATCCAGCTCGGCATGTATGCATGCATACTAAATGATACATTCAGGATAGTTGTAGGTTCGTTCAGGTGTTTTGCAATTTCGACACTGTTCCTTGAATGCCGATGGCTGCTGTGTAAAGTTGAACTAATCTGCTGAAAAGCGAGTCCCTAGAGAGGGATCCCTCACATGGGAGGACGATCGACTCTGCTCCCGATTTCGTTCATCACAGCTAAAGATAATAAGAAGTTTATAGGAAATCGGCTTGCGCAGATAGCATACACTACGGATGGTCTTTTTAATCCAAACTGTCCAGGCAAGACTGGTTTACCCTGAGTACGAAACAAACTCATCGTTACACTGACCTGATAGCCACGACGACTAGAGTACATGTGATAGGTTTCTTCAGGAACTTACCATTGAAAACAAAGGGCGACTCAATCTCATCCTTTTTTTAGGATGCCGAAGCCGATTCCGAGAGATGGTGATTTCCACCCCGGACTCATTGGCTGGTACTCCGTCAATAGCAAAGCCGGTTCTGTCAAAATCTGGTAGACCTTGATTTCACCATCATTTGGATGCTACGATTCAGTAACAGCTAATTTCGTAATCGCTCTGCTTTCCGAACTGTATTTAACCACACATGCTGTGCTATCCATGTATCTGAAAATGGGTTTTAATCAGTTGAAGGAGGTTTGAATACCATACAGGTGTTCTGGTGTGTTTTGGCTTGTGTGCATATAGTGTGACAATAACAGTGAACTTGAATCCCACATCTAACATTAGCCTGCATAAAAGTGGATCAGTTTGGCTGTCAGATGATAGTCGACTCCTTGGAGATCAACCTTTGATGCAAATAAAATGCTATCAGTGGATATAAAGTGCACCAACTTTGCTGAATTTACGACAGTTTAACGGAAAAAATACTATGCTTTATGTGCGAATGTTCACATCCATTTGCTGAATACGGGTTAACCGTTGATACAGTCCTAACGAGGTCGGTAATGTCAGGAACGACCTGAGAATGAAACAACAAACAGTTTCAAAGCCTGCCTCAGGGTCAAGAAGATAGAATTTCATTGATATTAGAGCCGGTAAAATAAAATCTATTTCAAACGTTCGCCTGTATCAAGGAGACTGCTCAAGTGTGAATAAAACCAAACAAGCATGATGAAGCTTGCGATCGGTTATAGCATTCAAACTACTATTTCCGAGTCCTGTAAACCTCGAAAAGTGCAGGTTGTTGCAGTTTATGAATGCGCTTGTAAAAATGTATCTGTGGACCGATCTTCTCACTGCTCTTGATCACAAACTATTCAGTGACCGAGAGATATGCCCCTTACACAAGATACTCCTTGTTACAGGTAATGTGAACTGATTCAGGGGTCTTGCAACCCTCCGTCCAAAGCGTTATGTGCAGCGGACTAATTGCATTTGTGGGCAAACTATTTGAAGGTTATGGCTCGGTTTTCGTGTTGTGTAAGACTACTTAGGACAGACTGTTTGTAACTTAGGCACGCGGTCTACTTAGGTATGACAGCGAACTAGAGTGAAACCAATAAAACCGGCTTTTCATTACCTATATGGAGCAATCAATACAGTAAGACGTTTCCAATGGATGAAAGCAGACCTGCATCGTGTGAGCTCTGGCGAGTCCCAGCAGTTCGGTCATTCGCCGATATCTGTGACCAACCGTAGATTTGATTGCTGTGGAAGGGTTGGGTGTGCTGCTTTAGGTGTGCAGAAGGTGATGGTAATGTATGTGTGCACAAGGCTGTCACTCAGCGATTGCGGGTGGAACGCTGGCGCGCAACGGCAACGAATCGGATTCGCTGGAGTGATAGGGGAGGCCGAATTGGAACAGACTAACCTGATTGGCTGAATAATTGACGCTTCAACTTGGTAACTAAACCGACTTCAGGCGGGTGTGAAGAAATTTGAGCTAACCACACACCAACAGTCGGAGCGACAACACAATCGTGAATTATGCGTAGGAATGCCTTCAGAAGTAAACCAATCAACCCGAAGCTCTGGAAGTACCTACCCACTGTCTTTGACTCCACAAAACACTCGTATATCGACTGCCTAGGCTATCTGTCACATTTGGATAGACGGACAGAAGTCTAATCCGTTCCACCCACATTCAGCAAGGCTTGATGAAAATGGACTTCCTTATAGTTTAATTGGGAGCATCAAGGCAGATTATATTACATCGGTGGTAACCTTATACTCTGACAAACTACTGGTCGAGGACGATACTCGTGATCGGTCGAAGGATGTACGCGTCGTTGCAGACTAGGCCGACATCGACATTACTCGGTCACCTGGATAACAGCACCGATAGCTGCTCTGATAGTGTGTTGGAGTACAGGACGCTACAACATCCCATTAGAAGTTTGGTCTACTGCTCATCACAGTATTCCGAACGGTCGACTGTGAGAATAGATGAATACTTTCGGCATCCAAGCGACCTACTAAGTTCACCAACCTGTTTGTATTCATCGATTTCCCGATTCCAAGAAAGCCTCAAGTCAAATGAGTCAGCTACGACCCCTGTGTTCAATGTTCTCACCTGCGCATCAACTTCTAACTGTTCAAGTGAAACTGTTACCGGTTCTCATGATAAACAGAATCCGCCTTGTAGTTTGTGCTTTACTGAACCACAAATCACATGTATATGTGAGGTTTTGCAACAGCGAGGTGACATTACTCGGCTGGAATATTTCCTCCAAACCTTACCACAGCAGGAGAGAGTACAGTTACTTGAAAGTGTCCTGGCTGCAAGAGCTACAGTAGCCTTCCACAAAGGGAACTACAGCGAACTGTACAACCTCTTAGAAAGTCATTCGTTCTCCGTAGAGCACCACTCACGACTTCAGTCGCTGTGGTTACGTGCTCACTACGCGGAAGAAGAAAAAGCGAAGGGACGGGTATTGGGTGCAGTGGCTAAATATCGAATTCGGCGCAAATTTCCCCTTCCAAGAACCATTTGGGATGGAGAGGAAACAAGTTACTGTTTCAAAGAAAAATCCAGAACGTTGCTGCGTGAATGGTACAATCATAACCCGTACCCCTCACCTAGGGATAAACGTGAATTAGCTGAGACCACTGGACTGACCACTACTCAGGTGTCCAACTGGTTCAAGAACAGAAGACAGAGAGATCGGGCTATCGACTTCAATGGGTCTCGACAAGGGGAACACCGAACAGCGGGGATTATCGAGGGCAACGAAGAACAGTCTATATGGTAAGATACTTTGCAAGTGTTCGGTAAAATTTAATGGTTGGTAAAAATTATGTTTATTGTGGGAACACCATTATGCAGTTAATCTCAGTCGGAAGGTATATTAGTTATATACTGGCTGGTGGCTTAGCTACGATACACAGCCCACTTGTCGAGCCACCAAAAACTGACTAACCAGACAGTAACCAGACAGTTCTAGTAAATAAGTAGGACGTCATTAAGTTGATTCATCGGCAGTAAGCGTAGATGTTTCACTCGTTCGTTTGTTGCAGCATTATTGCAACTAAGGGGACCCAACAGACAATGAAACCTCAACTTTCAGACTAAACTATTGGACTGGGCTCTTGAGGTTTTTCGTGGTTAGCGGCTCTGGCCAGATACGGCTGATTCCCTTATTTTTGTTATCTTATTCGTGTTGCTCTGAGATAGAAATAGACACGATGGCAGGGCGTTCTCATAAAAATTGCATGTTGGAATCTACGTACAGTCTACTGTCAGGTAGCTATGTGCTGAGCCATTTTTCCAGAAAAGCTAGTGGAACACAACCGTATTTTATAAGATGACTCTGGCAACTGAAAAGGAAATTATGAAGCCGTTTGCAAGCCAAACAGCTTTAGAGAACTAAACTCAACTTCAGTGTTTTTTCATGCATTATCACGGTCAGAGGACTACGTATTTTCATCAACTTTGGGAACAACACTCAAGATCTTCAATCGCTGGTCTCCTTAGAAGTTGGGAGTTTCTTCTATTGACTTCCTCTATACAAAACTGTCTAACTATTTTGCTTTTAGGCTGTCAGCATGGTATTATGGCCTCGAAAAGGGCCATAGTCGTGTTGCTGCATTGGGATCAAGGATACCATGGGATAAGGTTTAATTTTTTTCAAAAAAAGTCTCCCATGACTTCAGATATATTTCAAAAATAAAAATAAACAAGCAGTTTTCTCAGCAGAGAAAGAATTAGCAGATCTTGTAGTTGACATGAGCCATAATAATGAAAGGGTAATTGCGTAGAAATTCGTTAGTTCATTCTAAAATAGAATATCAGTATGAATAATCAAGTTAGGGTTCCACTGAGCTCTCGATGTACCAAATGACGGATTTGGGATTTCTCAAGAGGATTAATAATTTGGGTTTGTAACTGTTAGGCATAAAATTTGAAAATATGCCACATCTTCGCACTGCAGAGCCAGTGGTGCGTGTGCCACGGTGGATTTCTTCCTGCATAGTACAGGGTCCGACTGCTTTCTAGACATGCTATCAGAAGGGAGAAGCACATATTAAATTCGTCTGTTAGTAATACGCGTTCAGGATTCATATGTGGATTTATCCCGCCAAATAATATAATCCCATCATACTGAATGTTATATTTAGTTGAGAAAGAAACTAGAAACTCTAGGTTCACCAATTCACCTCAGACTTGTTCGTAATTGTTACCTGGTTTGCTTTCATCACCTGAGGTATCAGTGAGGGTGAGTTAGAAAAGTTCTGGTGTCGTGTGAGGAGAAGGTGATAACGATCTTTCAAAGTCAGTTGATATCACCTGACCCCGTATTTGGACCCATACCCACCATATCATGCAGCTTGTGAACTTTTCCTTGACGCGCCCCTTTCGTAATTGTGCACGACCACTATACTAAACACTCATTCATCCATTCATTCTCAGACGGCAGTAGGGAAAAAGAAGCGAATACACCTTCCCGCCTTGCGAAAAATCCATTTCATCCACACTGTATACTGAAAATCATTTGTACTTATAAGTTTTCATAACGACAGCGTTCTTAACTCGTTTTTCAACTGTAATTTCACACCACGCATGAGTGCCATTGGAGGAAATGTCGTCACTGTTCTGTTCATTGAGCTTGGCAATTTTGTCGCAAATATTTCGTCACCAGAGTTGACGAAATCATCTACGTGTAGTGAGTTAGCGGTGCATCGTAGTGCGTCAGCGTGTAGGTGATCGGTAGTGCCATTGAGAATTTTCTCAGTTGGTAGAACTTGATATCTCCGTCGTTTTCGCGGTGCATTTTATTATGCTTCGAGCTTCGTCCAAATGACAACATGGCCAATCCCCATAATAGAGTCCGGTTCTCCTCAGAGGCCCATCCTCGGTTGGAGTTTCGGTCATCATTCCTGAGATGTTTTCAAAGTTCCAGTGGCGGATGCTCTGCAGTCCGTTCGTGGCAGTTTAAAGTGATTTAACCAACTTTTCCAGGCAGAATAATGCTTAGTCGGAACGCATGGCTCACCCTCGCGTTAGACGTCAAGCATGCAATGGAATGGATGATCCCAGAGGCTTACGGATGGATGGCTGGAGAGCTGTGAATTTTACCATGAAACGTTTAACCTCTCCGTAGTATGTTTAGATTTATCACAAGGCAACGACAGAACTTCTCCCATTTATAACTCACCGCTGAGATTTTACCTGGCTTCAAAGTACCATAATGGAGAAACACAACAACCGAACAGCTAGACGCTGCGGATGTAAAATTTTGCTCACAGGCCACCCAAGATGAATTTATTTGTGCGTGTCTCTTCTTGGGTGCACGCACTCTAGCTCGTCTGAGCATGCCTGAAATTCAGCATTTGTTTGCTCTTCTAAATATTCTTTTCAAACGACTGAGTGCATGAATCGTATCTGCCTCGATGGTCAAGATTGATAGACACTTAGGAGTGAGCACTAGATTATGTAGCGTACTAGTTTTGCTGACCAAGAGAAGGCATATCGAATGTCGAATGACATCCTTCTTTCAACGTCTTGATGGACGGATAGTGATAAATGTTCGATATGAATAAAGAGATTAAAGAGACGGAAATGGTCCCAGGAAACTGATAAAATGTGGAAATTCACCCCAACTTGTACTTGAGCACGTCAGGCATGTGCGTGTCAAGCTGGAGGTGGGTAAGTTGAGTTTGTTCGCCCAGTTTCGTGGACAACTTTTCTCATTAGCGTACTCTTGCAAGCCATCTTTGATAGGCCCCTGAATTTGGATGGCTTACAGAAGGCTGGATCAATGCAAGTAGAAGTATCTCCTATCAACCCGTCCGGTGCTTAAATGGGGTTTAGTAATACTTGCTCTTCCTGTTCCTTTGCAAAAATGAGGGCAATGTCGTTTGCGCAATCCAGGTCAACAAGGTTCTGGCTTGGACAGATCTGAACACCGGTGTTTTGGGGACCTTCAAGTGTTCGCCTCATTACGTCGTCAATGAAGAAATTGGACAGAAATGATGAGAGAATAGACGTCCTTATAGGAAACCGTTACATCTTGTTACCGCTGGAATTACTCCACAAGCCGTTTTGTTCAATCTGGCTCCAGAAAAGACTGCTGGACAGCTTGGATAATAATCGCGGAATCGGCCCGGTAGATTTCGCTGCCAAAAGCTTCACGTTCTTTCGGCTGCTGAATATTTTCTGAACATGAGGTACGCATATAAGGCTAGAACATGGAGGTTTCGATCCTGCAGAAGACTGAACCAAATTTTCTCTTCGCAACACGTGAAATGCATAGGTCTGGGCAGTGCAGCAGAAGTCTTCTGTTTTTCTGTTCTCACTAACGTTATGAGAATTCAATCCAAACGTGGTTTTTAATAGCTTTCCTGAAAAACCTAACCATAGGCTTCTTTGTGTTGTCTAATCGGTATTTGTTTACTAGTGTGACGTGAAACTTATCATTCTGGATCCAGTTTTGATTCGATCAACTAGAGCACTCGGCCATTAATTATGCATCTGTGGGGAAGTTCATTTGAAGATTACTATAAACGAGATATTTAGTAGAGTCTCCCGTTAACAGCTTAGTTTGTAAAAATGACCGTATGAATCAAAATATCTCATCCGAAAAATACATCCGTTAATGGAAACTAAGGCGACCAGACCATGTGTTACACGTGCCGAGTTATCACCTGTCAGAAGGAGTGTTACTTCCCGTGCCCAATTCAGATTGGCGTCAACCTAGAAGTGGACGGAATTTGACGAGGCGGAAGGGAGTGATGGGCGTTGCGAGACGTTTGGGTGCCTTTGGTGCTGTTTGTCTTCCAGGATGGGGTCCATGTGCCCTTCCCTGCGCTTGGCTGGAGACATTGAACAATATGGAGTGGAGCAATATGTCAGTGGCGTTCACGCTGTCAGTTTCTATCCAGATTGTCTAACTGGTTGTTGGAAACGTAAGCGCCTCGGATGTTTGTGGTAGGCTAGCCCGAGATCCTCCTTCCTTCCCCATCACCTTCTTCATTCGGTTATAAGGTTCTATCCAGACAAATTGGCATGCTTGTGCTGTAGTGAAACACCGATGTTCTGTTGCAATCAGTGATCGTAGTGATGATGATGATGGTGCGGGATTTAACTGATCTAAGCAGGGCTCCGGGGCTTTTCTGCTCTTCATTTCTTTGGCTACCGCGGTGATCTCTACACAGTTTACATCATATGGTGCCGGACCTGGGCTTGTGTCGAGGTTCAAGTGTTTGGTTCACGGATAGTTCAACTGTTGTTTACATTGCTTGGCTGATCTGTACATCTTGTTACCAGTGTTCAGAGATCCTCCATTTGTTCAACGTGGGAGATACCACCAAGGCTGAATTTTTTCCGAAGCCACGCCTATGGAATAAAATCACCTGTGCTCCAAGCATTACTTGGTGAGCAAGCGTGTCAAGAAGAAAAAACCGGTTAACCGAGTCGAACGCGCCTCGGAAATCCAGGAAGACTAGAATTGTGGGTTGCTTATACGTATGGCGTTGTTCTAGCACCTGACGGAGCGTAGCGATTCGGTCAACGCAACGCAACCCACGAGATGCCTCAGTGTTTGGAGCGGAAGGTCCATGGTTTGAACCCGACATCTGCCTCTCGACTTCCCCTGTCTAGGCTTGGCTTGG